TTAATTTTTTTTTTCTCTATTAGGACTTAATTTAAGATTCTATGTTTTAATTTCTTAATTCTTAAGAATTTTCTTAATTCTTAGCACATTCTTATCATAAGTATCTTTATTATAACTTACTAGCATTGAGCAACCCGTAATACGGGTTAGTAATAAATAAATAATAATTTAGTTTGATATATTATCTGAAAAATATAAAATACAAATTCATCTATATACACATTTATTTAACAACTTCCAGCAGAATTTTTTTTACTTTGTTTATTCCTTATTATTTTTTCTAAGATAAAATATACATGTTTAAATAGATCTTATCATATTTAAATGGAGAAATATAAAATATGCGCGAACTTATGTTTATAAAATTACATGTCCACAAATAAGAGTCTTATTTTATTTAACCTTTCATGTTAAATACATAAATAAAAGTTTATTCTCATTAATCCTTCTACAAACAATAATTTTGTTCTATAAATAATAAAATGAATTAAACTTACTAAAAAGGCCTTCAGCTCCTTCTAACTGCTCTGAAAAATAAAACAATACTTGCTTTAAATGTTCTAAAATAACCAAAGACAAAACTGAAATACTTTACTAAAAAAAAACATTCAATGTTTCTTAAAATGACTGATAAAATAGTTTTTTTAGTACGATGTTAAAATGTACTAAAAAAGCTATTTCATCAGTCATTTTAGTTCAACCTCTTCTGAAAAAAGAAAATAAGCTATAAAAATTGGAAAAATAAAAACAACCAACAACAAGCAAACAATTATTTAAATTTTTGTTCTAGTTTTTAAGCAATAAACAACATCAATTCTTCTTGAAACTAAAAATGTATCAGCTCTAATTTGCTTGCAGACCTTGCTTGAGAGACCGCGTGGAATATAAAACCGCATTTAGAAAAGCCTAGAAACTACTTTAAAAACGAAAGTGAAATGACACTACTACTACTACTACTATTAGTACTACTACTACTACTACTACTACTACTACTACTACTACTACTACTACTACTACTACTACTACTACTACTACTACTACTGCTACTATTAAATTAGGGTATTAATATCTAGATGCGCAACAAGTTTTTCCCGATGTTTTGATGTTTTTAGAAATTTTAAGTTTTTTCTAAAAATTCTCTCCCTTTTGTTTGATAGAGTATATAATATCTTTATTATTGTTTTGCATTTAATACCTATAGAACTTTAAAAATGTTTAACTTTGCACTTTTTTTTTTGCACACAGAAAATTTGAAAGGATTGAAAAAAAAAAATTAAAATTAAATGCGCACGCGAAGAGATTTGAACCTTCACGACGCACTTTGGAAGCGCAGCAAGCTAACCACTTCCGCCATATCAAAATTTGGTACGACTGTTTTGTTTCAGAGACAAGGACTACGGTAAGAAACAAAAAACTGGTCTTTGCTTTTTTGGCAAAAAGGGGTAATAAGATTATTAATAATTAGAAGATATATTTGTTTTTAGGTCTCATATAATAAAGATTTCAATACTTTTGGCGACAAATTTCAACATTTAAATATGAAGCATAAAATATTAAAGACATTTAGTTGATATAAATTTAAAACATTCATATCTTTAAAAAGTTGCTTCGTATGAATTTAAATTTATTGCGCAAGATGCGTATTTCTGATGAATGTGAAGAGATATTAGCAATGTTCTATGAGTGCTTCCCCATATATTAATAGCAGCTGCACATGAAGGTAAAAACCAAATAGATAGAATAAAAACCTTCAGATAGAATGAAGTTTGACTTAAAACCAACAAGAAGGAATAAAAGGTTCTATACCTACCTGATTGTGTAGCAGGCGCAATGACCAGTGGAGAGGAGACATGAGCCCAATTTCATTAATGAACAATGAAAAAAATTTTGTTCATTGTTCGTTGATGTTTGATTGCTGACTGCAAGAGATCAAAACACTTGTTATCACAATGTTTATAACACATACTCGCAATGGAAACTTTAACAGTTTGTTCAATCAGAACTTGATATTTTTTAAGTATAACAGTCGTATATTATTTGATTAGCACAACACAAACCACCTAAAGAAGGAAAAGATGGAGCTTAGCACAAGGTAGGGTCAAAGAAGTGATTAGTTTTGTCTCGAAAACTATTCACAATGTAAACTGAATAAGAGTTTGAGAAATACAAAGTTATGAGCTTTAGTGGCAGCGGAACTTGAGTCAAGTCATTCATTGTGATAACCATTAAATTCATCAATAACAACAATATTGGATAATGGATAAAGAGAAAGGACTCGGTCATTATGTCAAGAAAAGACATTGAAAAGAAAAAGAAAAATCTTGAGAAAAATAGAGAATAAAAAGAAAGGCAATTGAGTGAAGAAAAATAAAAGCACATAAAGAAAGTCAAAAGACTCAAAACTGATTTAACGACAAATAGGTGAACTGATACGTATGTATATGACCAGGCTAAGCATGTAACTATTGGAGTGATTGCGAAACAAAGAATAATAGCCATTGACACAGAGATCCGAGAAAAAAAAAGCTAAATTCAATTTAGTTTCACAAGAGCAAGTTAGTCTAGTGAATTTTGTAAAAGGTGAGACCAGTAGCGACTACGTTTTTAGAGAACTTAAATCATAGATAGTGCATGATATACAATGCTCTTGGTTTAAACACAGTGCTGTGAGCAATATCAACACTATCAGTGCTGTGAGCAATATCAACATCATCAGTGCTGTGAGCAATACAGCTGTGAGCAATACATTTACCTCAGTCCTGCTCTCACTAATGATCACAAATCGTGACAAAGAGTTCCTTATGCGGTCTCACAAATACACACTAAAAGTATAAGCAGGGACACCATCTATGGACAACATAGCACTATCGTAACTTTGTTATTTTACAGCTGCTGATGTTATCAACAATCAAAGCTATCACAAAGTTTGGGAAAGGCTACCACAGGTTTGTTTTTAATTTTATTAATTCGTTATCTGATTTACTTTTTTATTAAAAAAAGCTTTGTTTTAAAATTTTTTTGACAACACTTGTAAATATCAGGAAAAATATTTTTTTAAATATTGTTTTAATCTATTGTTTCCTCTTAAGTAGTTGTAGTTTAATTGACAAAGGTTTCAAAATTTAAGACTAAAAAAGCTGTTGGGTACTAACAGTTACTGTTAGCAACTGTTACTGGTTTTGCAAGTGCTTGTAAAAGTATTTTTAAAATAACAAAGAAGAATAAAATAAGAACATTTGAAAAAAGAACAAATTAAGTATTAATATATTTATTATAGTTTAATATATATATATATATATATATATATATATATATATATATATATATATATATATATATATATATATATATATATATATATATATATATATATATATATATATATATATATATATATAATAAGTATTAGTATAAAAATAATAAAGTACAAATTAAGTATTAATACATATATACAAAATGCATGCTCGGAGTTTCAGTTCCTTACTAAACCCTCCTTCTGGGGCCTAGCTCATATATTAATCTGACGCATGATTTCTTAGTAGCAAATCTTTCAACTTCCTCTTCGGTGGTTAATGACCTAAAAATTCGACTCATTTTTCTAATTTCTTTTGCTCCTACACTTTTTCTTACTTTTCTACTGTCAAAATTTTTTGCATCATTTTTACTTTTTGCGTAAATCCATGATTGACAGAATATATTTTATTATTGCAATATAAGACCCAATACCATAATTACTAATGTTCTTCTAATGAGTTCTCTGTTTACATTTCAATCAGAAATAGGTTGGTTGAATATTAATTTTTTTTTTTGCTGAGCCTAGGATTTGTTCTGCTAATTAGAATATGCAACTTTTATTACAGTCGCTAAGCGTTTGCGATCTTCAAGAACAAAGTATGTCAACGACGTCGCCTCTTAGTTTCCAGGTTTTCACTGTTTTTTGCAATCAAATTTCAGATATACATAGAAGTTTACTTATTTTGTTGCTTTGTTTTTTTCATTTGAACAATAGTTTGCGATTTGATACTCTGACTTCTGACTTATTTGAACTCGAATAGAAATTTTAAATATTATAAGTTAATGTTTGACAGTTTATCTGTAAAGATATTGTTTTGTGAAGTTAATTTTTTTAGTTAAATATAAGAAATACTTAGTAATTCAATCATTCAACTAAGAATACTTGTATATAATATTTAATTTGTGAAAAAAGATATAACACTTTGAAACACAACTTTTATCATTGTATTGAAAGTGTTATATTTTAATTGCTTACATCTGAAGATTATATTTTAGTTGCTTACGTCTGAAGATTATATTTTAATTGCTGACGTCTGAAGATTATATTTTAATAGCTTACGTCTAAAGATTATATTTTAATTGCTTACGTCTGAAGATTATATTTTAATTGCTTACGTCGGAAGATTATATTTTAATTGCTTACGTCGGAAGATTATGGAAAAATAAATACATTTTATGATACACAAAAAAATTAGTTTTTACAGAAAAAAAACTTTTCGCCCTTTTGTTCATTTCGTCTGGTAAAAAAAAATAATTGAATAGATAAAGACTATCATTTAAAAGGCTTCAGAATTGAGTAAACTTTCTCAATTTGCAAGTGTACTGTCATTTGTATGTAAATGACAGTACACAAGTGTAAATCATTTTCACGAAGTTGCCTCCAAATGTACTGCCGTAATATTTTTGTTGTACTGTGCATGATGACTACGTTTAAAGTCCAATAAATCTTTATGAAAGCACTTGTCTTGCTCTGAGAGACAAGAATATGGACTTTAAAAGATATTCTACATCCTATTTTGGCGTAATTTTTTATAAGAATACTGAACAGCTCCTATAAAAATGTTATAATTCGTTCTCTTCGCCCTGCTCAGGAACTTGAAAAAATTGTCACATTCTATGATATATTTAATCTTTGGTCTGAAAAAGATAACAATTCTAAGCTTAGTATCGAACCAAAGAAAACAATGATACAATCACCTTCCCAGTAAGCACGTCACGTTTATTAAACGTTTTAACCACGTACTTTTTTGGTTTTTCCGTCCAAGGCTTTTTTAAACGTTTTTTAAACGCCTTAAAAACGTTGCATATATCACGTAGTATTTGATACGTAGTTTACACGTATTTTAAACGTAACATATTTTGATTTTTAAACGTAATAACTCAATTATAAGATTTGGCGCACGGTTCAAGAATTACAGATTAATTTGGAATATTTAAGCGCATTTTTTTGGCAGCTAGTTATAACTCTTGAAACAACAAACTTTTTTATAATTCTTGCAGCAATTATAACTCAATAACTCTTGAAATAGTTACAACTCTTGAAAAAACGAAATAACCCAAACAAAACAACTTTTCAAATAACGCTTAAGAATTCGTTACAGAAAATGTCAGAGGATTCTCCAATCGCCACACGAAAGCGTTCTCATCCAAGTACAAGGTGACTGAATAATTAGTTTTATTAATTAACAAAAAAATGTGTGGTGGTGGTGGTGGTGGTGGTGGGGAACTACTTTCAAACTCGAGGACATGCCAGGACTAGTAAGAACCCTGACATAAAAGAATCATTAGTTTAATACATTAATGTATTAAATTAAGGAAAATTCTTTAGAATTACCACTGTTCCTGGAAAAACCTTAAAATTCCTAGAATCTTGAAAAAAGTACTGGAAAATCCTGGATTTAATTTAGTTATTCAGAAAAATCATAAAGAAGTACTCGAAATTTTCATTCTGTTTTAATTTGTTAATGTTTTTTTCAAAACTCTTCCCCCTTTTTTTTATAGATTATTTCATTCATAAAAAATATGGTAGTTAATAGTTTTCAATTACAATTAATACTTAAGTTGTTTCCCAAAAACTTGCAAATAAACTTTAAAGTGTAATCAACTTGTTTTTAGAATATTACTTAAATAATGTTAAATATTACTTAAGTAATATTTTAAAAACATGATGGTTAAACCTTATAGTCTTTTTGTCAAAAGACGTAAACTGTAGGGTGTAATCATTATGTTTTTAGCATATTATATTTTAAAAACAAGGTTTTTTTTGACATATTTAATGACAATAGTTTTTTACTTTAATGTCATTTTTATATATATGTTATATTTAATATATATGATGTATTTAATGCTATTTAACATTTTAATTATTCAGTAATTAATAATAGAGATTAATGTGACTAGGTCAAAATATTAAACTAAAAATTTAGTTGTTTGTCTTTAATTGTGTTATATAATTGGTTTATTTAGTTCAGCAGTAGGTTTAGTAGTAATTATATTATTTTAGTTCATCTTCTGCATGGAGAGCACGCAGAGCAGCTGTTTTAAATATGTCTGAAGTACCTCAAAATCCTAATTTTTTGGATCTCAGTTCTATTAAGAATGATATTATTCAAAATAAGAATAAAGAATATACTTCATCGGATGATGCTTCCAGTTGTAATACTCAGAATGCAAATGCTATATATTCAACATCAGATGAAATTGCCAGTGATAATGATATGTTTGAAAATTTGCTGCAGTCAGGAACAAAAAGTTTATATGATGACCTTCTCTGTTCTAAATTACGAGATTGGGCTCTAAAAAACAGTTGCACACAAACTTGTATAAATGAAATTTTAAATCTTTTTTTGGAAAATCATCACAACGTGCCCAGAGACTCAAGAACATTGTTAAAAACAAAAAGAAGCATTCCTTCCACTAAAATAGATGGACATGGAGAGTATATTTATCTTGGTTTAAGAAAAGAAATCACAAATCAAGTTGTTTTACATTCCATTACGGAAACTACCTTAAACTTATCTTTTAATATAGATGGCCTCCCGTTATTTAAATCCAGTTCTACTCAACTGTGGCCAATTGCAGTATCTATTATAGAATTTGACCCTTTTCTTGTTGGACTTTATTGTGGAGAAAGCAAACCGCCCTGCGATGTTTACTTGAGAGAATTTGTTAATGAGTTATTAGAATTACAAGACAGTCTTATTGTAGTAAACAATGTTCATTACAAAGTTAATATTTATTCATTTATTTGTGACGCTCCTGCTCGAGCTTTATTAAAAGGTATTGTTAGTCACTCAGGATTTCATTCTTGTGAGAGATGTACCATAGTGGGAGAAAGTATAAGCAGTCGAACTGTTTTCTCAATGAGAGAAGAAGGTGTTGTTTTAAGGACAAGTCAAAAATTCAAAAATGACGAGTATTTTGAAAAAGATTTAAATGGAAGAGCACATCAACACAGTAAATCAGTTTTAAGAAAAGTTACATCTGTAAATTTTATAAATATGTTCCCACTTGACTACATGCACTTAGTGTGTCTAGGATGCATGCGTAGGCTGCTGTATTTCCTTAAAGGAAATATCAAAGGAACTATTAAGGGGAAATTGTCCGCTAATATGATGAACCAAATTTCTGAAAAGCTTGCTGCTTTAAATGGTAAACTACCGAGCGAGTTTGTCAGACAGCCTAGATCACTGACTGAACTTGATCGGTGGAAAGCTACTGAACTCAGATCTTTTTTGCTATATACTGGTATAGTTGCATTAAAGGGGGTTGTTGACAGCTCTGTTTACAAGCATTTTTTAAGTCTGTCTCTTGCGATAAGGTTTTTATGTGAAAGTGATGATGTATTGAGAAACTCGAATCTAGAAAATGCTCAACAACTTATTGAATATTTTGTTATTAATTCTAATGAGATTTATGGAGATTTGTTTTGTGTATATAATGTACATGGACTTTTACACATTTGTGATGATGTAAAGTTTTATGGAGTCTCGCTTGATAAATTGTCTGCCTTTAAGTTTGAAAACTATCTTCAGAAATTGAAAAGATTAGTTCGCAGCAAACGTAACCCTTTGGCTCAAGTATGTAAAAGATTAGATGAAATGACTGACTACAAGCAAGTTAAAAAAGTGACAGGTAGAATGACCACAACCAAAAAAGATTCTTGTTTTTTAACTGAGGATAGCATTGTATTTCTTCAAAAGTTAGTTAATGAAGACCACTATCAGTGTTTTTCTTATAGCATACAGTTTATAGATAATTACTTTACTGCTTTTCTTCCTTCAAGAGATATTGGAATCTACTTTGTCAGGAGTACAATAAAACCTGTTGTTTGTGTTATGCAGAAAAACAGCTTTTTGCGGAAATGTATTTTCATGAAAGTTAAAGATGGATTTGTTGTTTCTGCTTTGGTGCATTCTGTTGAGTTAAGTGGAGAATGTTGATATGATTTACAAGAACAACATTTTATGCATATACTTTTATTTATAATTTTTATTAATAGATTGTTGCCAGGTTACATAAAAGTATGAATAGGATTAATTGAATGAATATACGTATTAAATTTTAATTGATTTAGGTTACATATAATATTTATAAATAAATATTACTAACAGAGCCATGTTTTCACAAGAACAACATTTCATACATTTACTTTTGTTTATAATTTTTTTAAATAGATTATTGCTGAATTTATGCACACATTTTAAAATGTTAATATGTAGGTATATATTCTGACCCTATACTGTAACCTTTTGATGGCCAAATTTATTATTATTATTATTATTATTATTATTTTGATTGATATTTTTTTGATATATATATATATATATATATATATATATATATATATATATATATATATATATATATATATATATATATATATACGTATATATAAATATATATATCTTTTAAGTTTATATTTTTGTTATACGATATTATATGCTGAATTTGAATGTTTTTTTTTTATTATTACACTTGTTTCTGACCGCTATAGGTCAGCGAAATATCGTAAATATGTAATTATACCAAAATATATTTAAAACAAAAGAGTTCATTAGCAGCCTTTTTTTTTTAATCAAATTTAACTTATATACATATGCAGAATTAAATATATATATATATATATATATATATATATATATATATATATATATATATATATATATATATATATATATATATATATATTGTTATTTACTTTAACAGACTTTTTTGTATTATTTAATTTATTTCTCTATAAAATTGGTTTATCATAAGCAATTAATCTTGGACTAACTAATTTCTATATTGTAGGCATTAATAATCTTTTGTTATTTCATTAAAGATGCATTTTTATCTTTTTAACTAGAGATTTCTAATATATTTTTTAATAACGAATTATTGTTATAAAAAATCTTGAGAAGTTTGTTATTAGTTTTTAATTGATTAGACTTTCTATTTAGCCCAATATACGACTGTACTCTGTAGTCACTATGAATGAAAATGGAGTGGCTAAGAAGTGCATAGTGCCTTTGCATTGGGTAAATGAAGTAGATCAAATAGTTTATTGGCCACCACAAGGGAAAAAACCGATTCACTACTACACAAGCAAGTGGTTAACACCAGATCTATCGTGGCAAGTATTTGAATTAGTTAAAATATCGCTAGAGAAAGGTACTCGAGAAATGTGTAATGACTGCTTGTTTCTTGATTCAGAATTGTCGCATAGTGATTTTGCAGAACGTGGTATTTTTTATTTCTGTTAGTCAGCATAGCAATGTTTATTTAATATTTCACAATATAAACTAAAAGATTAATAAAAAATAACTAATTTTTTATATATTTTTACTTAATTTTATGTATAAGACTTTTTTTGGTAACTTACAAGATATAAAAAACTTTCTTTTTTATAAGGCAATGTTCAGACATCTAACCCACATCGAGAAAGTCCTGACATAATGGTTGAAAAAGTGCAGAGTTGGGTTGGACGTTCACCAAAACATGTACTAGCGCGTGACTTTTCCTCTGGAATATCAGTAATTGCAGCAGAAGCAAAAAAAAAACTAGAAAAAGAAAAAGTATGTAAAATAAGTTTATTTTCAGGTGAGCCTTTGAGTCCACCTTCACCACAATGCAGCTCTACTTTTTTATTATCAAAGCAACTATCACAAGAGTCAACTAGACATGCTAGAAAGGGAAATCCTCTACTTGGTAACTACAGAGAACCACCAACGTCATTTAAGTGCATGGATCAAAGACGTAAGTTTAATTATTATATGAATTTAATTTTTTGCATATATTATAACAGTCTTACAACTGTCTTATATCTGTTTGTGGAGGAAACATTTCCGTAGTAACTCTTATATATATAGTTTAACAACTTGTGTATAGCTTTTAAATATACTTTAACAGCTTTTTTAAGTCACTAGCAATGCATCATTGCATCTCGTTGGGTAATATTATTGGTGTTATATGTAGTCAGGAATGAACTCCGGTCCTTAAAATATTTAATTTTAGTTGTTGTTCTGTTTCTTTTTTATTAAAAATAGAAAAAAGTTTGTTTTAAATGCAGTAGTAGATTTCTGTAGTTTTCTGTTTATTTTAGCCAGTGATATTTAAAAGTAGGAGTTGTGGTACCGGTTTTATAACTTGCTCTGTAAAAAAGGTATCCCGAAATAAACTCTGGGTTTATGATGTAGTAGTATATAAATGATAGGGATCTATTATTCTTCATACATCTGCATTAGCCCTAATAACCACTACCCAATGTTGATGCAACTGCTAGCTGCTAAAGGCTATTCTACAAAAAATATTTTGGGCAGCAGTGCCCCTGGGCAGTCGCAAATATGTGATATTAGGTAAAGAGAAAATTAAGAAATAGATTTTTTTGGTCTGATGCCACTACAGTTCATTAAACAAATATAAGATAAATTCTAAATTCTAAATATGAGATAAATTCTAGCATCACAATTTTCATTGTTACTTTTAGAATGGCAGTATGCATTTTTTATGGAAATGGCAGAGATCAAGTCATCCCAAAGAAATATTCTTGCTGCAATTGAAAGTCTAGGTCGGCGAACGGAACTCGAAAGTTCTTCGCTTTTCATTAGTAAATGTCATTCCCTTGAAGAATTTGATTCTTTTGAACAAAAATTGGAGTCTAATGCGGAATTTAGTATTTTAGTAAGTGTTGTTAATGATAAAGTTATGACTTATAAGGCCTTAAAAGTTGTATCCAATAAAAGTGAAAATCCTTCCTATTTTAATAGTATTGCCAAATTATAGGTACTTTACCTATAATTTGTATAGGTACTATAAATATAAAAATAAGTACTATAACTATTGAATACTATTGAACGAAAAACGTTTATACTGTAAAATATGATTTGTTTGTTTATTCTTAAAAGTTGTATAACCATTTGTTTTGTAATCTAGTTAGTTGTTAAAAATATTTATCATCAGCAGATTTAATAAGAGGTATAATAAAGTGAAATAAGAAATGTATTAAAGTATATAATAACAAATAATATAATCAAATAAAGTACATATACAAAAAATTTAAACAAATATATCAATTGTTTACATTAAAACTTTGAATTTTTTAAATTAGATAAAACGTTTGAAACAACTAGGTGGAGGAACACCATCGCAGCTTGTCAGCAAGTGCATCAATCAGACTCTTGATAAGAGTGTACAAGCCCAGTTCAACAAAACAGGAAGTAATGGGAAACGTGCTTTTAAAAAGACGCTACTCTGCAAAGCAATTTTAGGTAAACTTTTACTTAATATTAAACTGAGCGTTTACTAGAATAAGTGTTGTTCTTCTATAGTTTTATTTTAGCTGCATTAGTATCAGATGTGAATTCAGCAAAAGTTATTGATTCGTTCATTGGTGAACAATTAAAGCGAGCACCTCGAGCCCTTGAAAATGAGCTAGATAAGTTTTTGTAATTTTTTTTTAAAGGAGGAATTATGTTTGTATTTTTAGTTTGTAAAATAAGGAGCATTTCTTATTAAACTCTTTTTATATATGTGTAGATTTTTCATGGGCAATAGTTTTATACGTTTCCATTAAATGTATAAAACATTTATACATTTCATTTAAGGTTTTTTTAATTTTATCGTGTGTATTTTTATATCACTAAATAATTGGAATTGAATTGGAATTGCAAAAAATAATTTAAAATTGCAAAATAAAAAAAAGAACTGAAGATAATGAAAATCCTGCCAATTTTGAAATATCAACAAAACTTTTTTTTTGATTCAATATTTTTTTGTACTCATTTTAACCCGATAACAATAATAACCAATACTTAGTACCATTAAAATTAAACAAAAGCACGTTAGCTTCCGTGTGCAAAAAAAAATATTTAAACTTTGGTAAGTAGTTTTTTAGTTTTTAATATATATGTAT